AGCTGTCTCGGGTGTGGACCAATCAACTTCAAGGACAGTGCACATTATCAGAGTTATGTCTTTTGTTTGCATTATGACTGCAGGTATTGTGGTCTATGCAAACATGACTCCTTGTTAAAAGGTGTCAGTTTTGTTGCCAGATAGAAGGGTAAAAAACAATTATCGTTGTTATTGTTGTTGTGTGATCACAACCGAGGAGTGATGTTCTTCAGCACCACCGGGGGATGTTTGGCTAATGCCGATTACAATCGGTGCCCCCGGTTTGGCTTTTTTTTTTTACGAAAGAGCTCTCTGTTACTGGACGCAGTTTTTTTTATTTGTTTTCAACTGACGTGTGCCGCTGGACGGGAGGTGACTGGGCGGAGCTCGATTCTCATCGTCGTTGGCATCGGGGAGAATGTGAATTGTCCCCCGCGTGCCTGGGGGTGCTACTGTTTTGGTTTGACGCTGTTGGTTTTTTCGGCGAACCGATGTCACCCGGGTTGTCAACAAATAGACGCACAAATGTGGCCGTCGCCTGGCGAAGCTGGTGGCTGTGATGACTGGAGGAATGTCGCGGACTGCAAATGGCGAATGTTGTGGCTTGACCCATAGACTCACACAGAGATTCATAGACTCACGTATAGACCCATAGACTCACACAGAGACCCATAGACTCACGTATAGACTCATAGACTCACGTATAGACCCATAGACTCACATAGAGACTCAGACTCACATAGAGACCCATAGACTCACATAGAGACCCATAGACTCACGTATAGACCCATAGACTCACATAGAGACCCATAGACTCACATAGAGACTCAGACTCACATAGAGACCCATAGACTCACATAGAGACCCATAGACTCACGTAGAGACCCATAGACTCACATAGAGACTCAGACTCACGTAGAGACTCAGACTCACATAGAGACCCATAGACTCACACAGAGACCCATAGACTCACGTAGAGACCCATAGACTCACGTAGAGACCCATAGACTCACATAGAGACTCAGACTCACGTAGAGACTCAGACTCACATAGAGACCCATAGACTCACATAGAGACTCAGACTCACGTAGAGACCCATAGACTCACGTAGAGACCCATAGACTCACGTAGAGACCCATAGACTCACATAGAGACCCATATACTCACGTAGAGACCCATAGACTCACATAGAGACTCAGACTCACATAGAGAACCATAGACTCACATAGAGACCCATAGACTCACATAGAGACTCACAGACTCACGTAGAGACCCATAGACTTACACAGACACCCATAGACTCACATAGAGACTCATAGACTGAGGTGGTGGTGTGAGGTGGTGGTGGTGGTGAGGGTGGTGAAGATGGTGGTGGTGAGGGTGGTGAGGGTGGTGGTGAGGGTGGTGAGGGTGGTGGTGAGGGTGGTGGTGAGGGTGGTGGTGAGGGTGGTGGTGGTGAGGGTGTTGAGGGTGGTGGTGGTGAGGGTGGTGGTGGTGGTGAGGGTGGTGGTGGTGGTGAGGGTGGTGGTGGTGGTGAGGGTGGTGGTGAGGGTGGTGGTGGTGGTGGTGGTGAGGGTGGTGGTGGTGAGGGTGGTGAGGGTGGTGGTCAGGGTGGTGGTGGTGGTGAGGGTGGTGGTGAGGGTGGTGGTGAGTGATGGTGGTGAGGGTGGTGGTGAGTGATGGTGGTGAGTGATGGTGGTGGTGGTGAGGGTGGTGAGGGTGGCGGTGAGGGTGGTGGTGGTGGTGAGGGTGGTGAGGGTGGTGGTGGTGAGAGTGGTGAAGGTGGTGGTGGTGGTGAGGGTGGTGGTGGTGGTGAGGGTGGTGGTGGTGGTGAGGGTGGTGGTGAGTGATGGTGGTGGTGGTGAGGGTGGTGGTGGTGGTGAGAGTGGTGAAGGTGGTGGTGGTGGTGATTGATGGTGGTGAGGCCACCTCCATCATTACCATCACCACCACCTCCACTATTACCACCACCACTATAACTTTCACCATCGCCACCACCACCACCTCCAACATCACCACCACCACCATCACCTCCACCATCACCACCACCCCCACCACCCCCATCATCACCACCACCGCTTAAACCTCATTTCACAGGCCACCAGGTTTGCCGCGACTGAAGGAAAAAAAATATCAAACAAACATCAACATCATCAACAAATAAATAAATAAACACGTCTCGGAGGCCAACAGGCAACGGACGACAAGAAATGAACAATATTCATGTTTAATAACCATCCTATCGCTTCATCGGCAACGATAGCGCGCCACCAAAGACGCAGATCCACACCCACCCGTGTAGCCTCTAGCAGGCTGTGGGGGCAAGTGCTGTTAGTAGCAGCAGCAGCTATGAACACACAGAGACAAAGATCCCCCGTGTAGCCTCTCACAGGCTGTAGGGGCAAGTGCTGTGAGTAGGGGGTTGTTGTGGTTGTTGTGGTGGTTGTGGTTCTGGTGGTGGTTGTGGTGGTTTTTGTGGTGGTGGTTGTGGTGGTGGTTGTAGTGGTGGTTGTTGTGGTGGTTGTTGTGGTTGTGGTGGTTGTAGTGGTGGTTGTTGTGGTAGTTGTTGTGGTGGTTGTTGTGGTGGTTGTTGTGGTGGTTGTTGTGGTGGTTGTAGTGGTAGTTGTAGTGGTTGTGGTGGTTATGGCGGTTGTTGTGGTGGTTGTGGTTGTTGTGGTGGTTGTTGTGGTCAGGGTCGGGATCGAACCCACGACCTCCTGTAGACCAGGCGAGGTGGTCAACATCTCATAGCCACCGTGATGATGATGAGAGAGAGATCGAACCCACGACCTCCTGTAGACCAGGCGAGGTAGTCAACATCTCATAGCCACCGTGATGATGATGAGAGAGAGATCGAACCCACGACCTCCTGTAGACCAGGCGAGGTAGTCAACATCTCATAGCCACCGTGATGATGATGAGAGAGATCGAACCCACGACCTCCTGTAGACTAGGCGAGGTAGTCAACATCTCATAGCCACCGTGATGATGATGAGAGAGAGATCGAACCCACGACCTCCTGTAGACCAGGCGAGGTGGTCAACATCTCATAGCCACCGTGATGATGATGATGAGAGAGATCGAACCCACGACCTCCTGTAGAATAGGCGAGGTAGTCAACATCTCATAGCCACCGTGATGATGATGAGAGAGATCGAACCCACGACCTCCTGTAGACCAGGCGAGGTAGTCAACATCTCATAGCCACCGTGATTATGAGAGAGAGATCGAACCCACGACCTCCTGTAGACCAGGCGAGGTGGTCAACATCTCATAGCCACCGTGGTGATGATGAGAGAGAGATCGAACCCACGACCTCCTGTATACCAGGCGAGGTGGTCAACATCTCATAGCCACCGTGATGATGAGAGAGAGATCGAACCCACGGCCTCCTGTAGACCAGGCGAGGTAGTCAACATCTCATAGCCACCGTGATGATGATGAGAGAGAGATCGAACCCACGACCTCCTGTAGACCAGGCGAGGTAGTCAACATCTCATAGCCACCGTGATGATGATGAGAGAGAGATCGAACCCACGACCTCCTGTAGACCAGGCGAGGTGGTCAACATCTCATAGCCACCGTGATGATGATGAGAGAGAGATCGAACCCACGACCTCCTGTAGACCAGGCGAGGTGGTCAACATCTCATAGCCACCGTGATGATGATGAGAAAGAGATCGAACCCACGACCTCCTGTATACCAGGCGAGGTAGTCAACGTCTCATAGCCACCGTGATGATGATGAGAGAGATCGAACCCACGACGTCCTGTAGACCAGGCGAGGTGGTCAACATCTCATAGCCACCGTGATGATGAGAGAGATCGAACCCACGACCTCCTGTAGACCAGGCGAGGTAGTCAACATCTCATAGCCACCGTGATGATGATGAGAGAGATCGAACCCACGACCTCCTGTAGACCAGGCGAGGTAGTCAACGTCTCATAGCCACCGTGATGATGATGAGAGAGAGATCGAACCCACGACCTCCTGTAGACCAGGCGAGGGAGTCAACATCTCATAGCCACCGTGATGATGATGAGAGAGATCGAACCCACGACGTCCTGTAGACCAGGCGAGGTGGTCAACGTCTCATAGCCACCGTGATGATGATGAGAGAGAGATCGAACCCACGACGTCCTGTAGATCAGGCGAGGTAGTCAACATCTCATAGCCACTGTGATGATGAGAGAGAGATCGAACCCACGACCTCCTGTAGACCAGGCGAGGTGGTCAACATCTCATAGCCACCGTGATGATGATGAGAGAGAGATCGAACCCACGACCTCCTGTAGACCAGGCGAGGTAGTCAACATCTCATAGCCACCGTGATGATGGGAGAGAGATCGAACCCACGACCTCCTGTAGACCAGGCGAGGTGGTCAACGTCTCATAGCCACCGTGATGATGATGAGAGAGAGATCGAACCCACGACCTCCTGTAGACCAGGCGAGGTGGTCAACATCTCATAGCCACCGTGATGATGAGAGAGAGAGATCGAACCCACGGCCTCCTGTAGACCAGGCGAGGTGGTCAACATCTCATAGACACCGTGATGATGAGAGAGAGATCGAACCCACGGCCTCCTGTAGACCAGGCGAGGTAGTCAACATCTCATAGCCACCGTGGTGATGATGAGAGAGAGATCGAACCCACGACCTCCTGTAGACCAGGCGAGGTGGTCAACATCTCATAGCCACCGTGATGATGATGATGAGAGATCGAACCCACGACCTCCTGTAGACCAGGCGAGGTGGTCAACATCTCATAGCCACCGTGATGATGATGAGAGAGATCGAACCCACAACCTCCTGTAGACCAGGCGAGGTAGTCAACATCTCATAGCCACCGTGATGATGATGAGAGAGAGATCGAACCCACGACCTCCTGTAGACCAGGCGAGGTGGTCAACATCTCATAGCCACCGTGATGATGATGATGAGAGATCGAACCCATGACCTCCTGTAGACCAGGCGAGGTGGTCAACATCTCATAGCCACCGTGATGATGATGAGAGAGATCGAACCCACGACCTCCTGTAGACCAGGCGAGGTAGTCAACATCTCATAGCCACCGTGATGATGAGAGATCGAACCCACGACCTCCTGTAGACCAGGCGAGGTGGTCAACATCTCATAGCCACCGTGATGATGATGAGAGAGATCTAACCCACGACCTCCTGTAGACCAGGCGAGGTAGTCAACATCTCATAGCCACCGTGATGATGATGAGAGAGAGATCGAACCCATGATCTCCTGTAGACCAGGCGAGGTGGTCAACATCTCATAGCCACTGTGATGATGATGAGAGAGAGATCGAACCCACGACCTCCTGTAGACCAGGCGAGGTAGTCAACATCTCATAGCCACTGTGATGATGATGAGAGAGAGAGATCGAACCCACGACCCCCTGTAGACCAGGCGAGGTGGTCAACATCTCATAGCCACCGTGATGATGATGAGAGAGAGATCGAACCCACGACCTCCTGTAGACCAGGCGAGGTAGTCAACATCTCATAGCAACTTGTCACGTTGGGTTAATTACACTGAGATGGAATTACATGACATCATGAGATATCTACAACGACACAAACTCTTTAGAATGTTACCAGGTTAACTTTCAAACACTGCGCAAAATTCATGCAGAACTGCTGTGATCCGCTGTGACACGGGGGAACACCAATAGAGCTGCTGATCTTATTATCTGTGGGGCCATCTGCGAATCTTTACCTTCCAGCTAAAAGGAGCAAAATGACAGATAACCTCGCCAACAAGAGGATGAGAATACCGCGTGACTCTTCTTATCCGCGAGATATCTAAACATGATTTCCCAATTTCATTTTATACTTTTCAGAAAAACAATATATACAACACCGCGTCACCTGATGTTCAGATTTGGCCACAGCTGTTCACAAACCGCATAGCCAAAATCTTAAATGCCGTTTGTTTTGTCAATATAAATGGGAGCCGGCTGTTATGGTATAATAACGACGTGCGCCCGCTAAACTCAGGCCCTCCGATCCACCGATGGAGTGAGGAAATTTAACGAAAAAATGAAAACAGAAACTCACGCAAATTAAGAAGTTAGCTAAAGAAACATAAAAATGTGGGTTTCTTTAAATCAAAATCTCCCCCGATTCGTGCATTTATACGTTGGCTCAATGCGAAAGCCACGATGCCACAAAAAACGCGTTTTAAGGAGATTGGACTCTCAATCAGAGGTCGCAACCGGGTACCCGATACCCGTACCCTACCCGATACCCGGCTACCCGTACCCGGCCGGGCACGGGTAGCCGTTTGCGACCCTGGTGCGGCCGGGTACGGATACGGTTAAGCCGTGAGTCACTGGTGAGTCACCGTTTGTCACTCATTTTCCAACGTCCTGTCTCTTCTCACAATTCAAGTTCCTAGAATCAACCCACCCGCGCCTGCAACATGGCTTCATCTCAGAGGTCGCAATCGGGTACCCGTACCCTACCCGATACCCGGCCGGGTACGGGTATCGGGTAAGGAATCAAACCCCGTTTGCGACCTCTGCTCTCAGTACTCTGGGGGTTACAAACCCAGCAGAGCCGAATGCCCCGAGCTACGAGGCTGGGTGCCGACGTGCCCCCCACACCGTCGCGTGCGCCGCGTGAGCGGGGTGCCCGCGCTCCGCCGCTCGGATCTTCACAAAGAGCACAGACGGTCGCCGCGACGGTGACACTCGCTCGCGCTAAACCCAAGCCGTGCGGCCGGTGCCGCCGCCGGCGCTCTGCCCGGGGGGCTCCTGGCGGGGCCTCGGCGTCGCCCGCAGCTCCGTCTCAAGTCCCCGCAACTCGTCACGGAGCTGACGCAATTCCCGCGGCGACATCGTCGCTGCTGCTGGAACTGCCGTGGGGGGGTCCGGCTCGCCGGGATCTGCCACCCTGGAAACGAGTCGAATTTCAAGAGGAGTGTTTTCATTAACAACAATAAATATACACTCTCCATGGTAGAGGATGTGTATGGGTTATATTGCGTGTATAATGTATAGTGCAGTGTATAGTGTAGTGTGTAGTGTATAGTGTGTAGTGTATAGTGTGTAGTGTATAGTGTGTAGTGTATAGTGTATAGTGTGTAGTGTATAGTGTGTAGTGTATAGTGTAGTGTATAGTGTGTAGTGTAGTGTATAGTGTAGTGTATAGTGTGTAGTGTATAGTGTGTAGTGTAGTGTATAGTGTGTAGTGTATAGTGTATAGTGTGTAGTGTATAGTGTGTAGTGTAGTGTATAGTGTGTAGTGTATAGTGTAGTGTATAGTGTGTAGTGTAGTGTATAGTGGATAGTGTAGTGTATAGTGTGTAGTGTATAGTGTGTAGTGTATAGTGTGTAGTGTATAGTGTGTAGTGTATAGTGTGTAGTGTAGTGTATAGTGTAGTGTATAGTGTGTAGTGTATAGTGTGTAGTGTATAGTGTCGTGTATAGTGTCGTGTATAGTGTGTAGTGTATAGTGTGTAGTGTATAGTGTAGTGTATAGTGTGTAGTGTATAGTGTGTAGTGTATAGTGTGTAGTGTATAGTGTCGTGTAGTGTATAGTGTCGTGTAGTGTATAGTGTGTAGTGTATAGTGTGTAGTGTATAGTGTGTAGTGTATAGTGTGTAGTGTATAGTGTAGTGTATAGTGTGTAGTGTATAGTGTGTAGTGTATAGTGTGTAGTGTATAGTGTAGTGTGTAGTGTATAGTGTGTAGTGTATAGTGTGTAGTGTATAGTGTAGTGTATAGTGTCGTGTAGTGTATAGTGTGTAGTGTATAGTGTGTAGTGTATAGTGTGTAGTGTATAGTGTGTAGTGTATAGTGTAGTGTATAGTGTGTAGTGTATAGTGTGTAGTGTATAGTGTCTAGTGTATAGTGTGTAGTGTATAGTGTGTAGTGTATAGTGTAGTGTATAGTGTAGTGTATAGTAGTGTATAGTAGTGTAGTGTATAGTGTAGTGTATAGTGTAGTGTATAGTGTAGTGTATAGTGTATAGTGGATAGTGTAGTGTATAGTGTGTAGTGTATAGTGTGTAGTGTATAGTGTGTAGTATAGTGTAGTGTATAGTGTAGTGTATAGTGTAGTGTATAGTGTGTAGTGTAGAGTGTAGTGTATAGTGTGTAGTGTATAGTGTGTAGTGTATAGTGTGTAGTGTATAGTGTGTAGTGTATAGTGTGTAGTGTATAGTGTGTAGTGTATAGTGTAGTGTATAGTGTGTAGTGTATAGTGTGTAGTGTATAGTGGATAATGCGATCTAAACCCAAAAACCTTGATTATGAATAATAATAATAGTCAACGCCGTAATGTGTGAGGAGCGGTGTGAGCGTTCCTCGCGAAACTCACCCGGTGCCGTTCCCGTCAGAGGAGGCCCCCAGCACCGAGTGGTAACCCGGGGGCGCCAGCGACGCTCGACGACTGCCCCGGGCCACCGCCACCTTCACCCTGGAAGCCTCCAGCGTCGTGTGGGCCGCCTGTTTGCCCTCCGCGGACCTACATCACACACACACATCTATATAGATAGCTGTGAACACACACACACACACATCTATATACACAGCTGTGAACACATACACTATACACTACACTATACACACATCTATATACACAGCTGTGAACACATACACTATACACTACACTATACACACATCTATATACACAGCTGTGAACACACACACTATACACTACACTATACACACATCTATATACACAGCTGTGAACACATACACTATACACTACACTATACACACATCTATATACACAGCTGTGAACACACACACACACATATCTATATACACAGCTGTGAACACACACACACACATATCTATATACACAGCTGTGAACACACACACACACACATCTATATACACAGCTGTGAACACACACACTATACACTACACTATACACACACATCTATATAGATAGCTGTGAACACACACACACACATCTATATACATTGCTGTGAACACACACACACACATCTATATACATTGCTGTGAACACATCACACTACACTATACACTACACTATAAACTATACACACACATCTATATACATTGCTGTGAACACATCACACTACACTATAAACTATACACAACATCTATATACATAGCTGTGAACACATCACACTACACTATACACCACACTATAAACTATACACAACATCTATATACATAGCGGTTGGGAAGCTGACGGAACCACTCTCATAGCTGTAAACAAATACACTACACTATACACTACACACTACACTATACACTACACTACCACATACCTGGCAACACTATACACTACACTGCTACACACCTGGCAACACTATACAACAACAACCGCCATTCGCCACTAAGTGGCGGTGACATCACCACGATGCTTGTGCCAGGCCATGTGCACCTTGAGATCACGTGAAGTGTCGAACGCCTGCTGGCAGGAGGTCACGGGGCAGACCCAGCAGGTGCCACGGGTCGACTGACTGAGATGACTGGCTGATGCACCACCTGTGCCCCCTACTGTGCCAACTTGCTGTGCTTTAGCCACCCGGCGCTCCGCTCGTTGTTGTGAGCGTCGCTCCTCCGCCCTCCGTTGTTGTTGGAGGGCGACTGCCTCCAACTGCCCAGTAGCGTCCTTCACGAGCCTCCTCCGCAGAGGCCGATCTTGACACCGCTGGTACCGGTCATCGGCAAGTCCACTCAGCTCCACGTCCTCCTGTACCACATCACTCCATCTCTTCTCTAGCCCATGTCGCGCCCATTTAGTCCCCTCGATCCGGCTGAACAAAAGCTGTTTCGGCATGCGGTGGCTGGGCATGCGGGCTACATGACCAGTGGATGGATCCTAAGCAGGCCAGCCTAAATGTTTCTAACTGGCAAAGATGCTCCATTAGGGGGGTCCACGTTTCGCAAGCGTAGAGAAGGGACGGAATGACCGTGGCCGAGAAGAACTGAAGCTTCGTGCGGAGCGACAGACCAGGTAGCTTCCACACAGCGTTACGAAACTGATGAAAAGATATTGCCACTCGACTGATTCGGAGTGAGACCTCTGCTGTTAAACTGGAGCCGGTCATAAGCACACTGCCCAGGTATGGGTAACTCTCCACTTTCTCCACAACTGCCCCATCACCGATTGGGAGTTGTGTGGGTGGAGTGTCTGATGGTACAAAATACCCAGGCAGGTGCTTAGTTTTGGTGGGGCTGATGGTAAGGACCCACCTCTTAGATGCACACTCCAGTCTCAGCAGCAGCATCTCCAACTCCTCCTCTGAATGAGCAGCTATTACAAAATCATCGGCATACATAACGTGGTTGACCAATAGGGAGCCATCCCTTGATCGCACCCGGGCATCAATCAGCCTCCCATTATATCTGTACCAGATGGAAATTCCCCCGGTACAGCTGCTGAAGGCTTCACGAACCACGTGGTCAAAATATATGTTAAATAATGTGGGAGCCAGAGGACATCCATGTGGCACCCCAAGGTGTACAGGGAATGGCTCTGACTCCCGGCCATGTAGTTTTACCTGGGCCCGCTCACCATCATGAAGGTCCTTAATGATCGTGAGCAGAGGGTCAGGGACTCCGAAAGCACGAAGAAGAACCCAGAGCACAGGCCAACTGATGGTATCATAGGCCTTGACCAGTTCAATAAAGCAGAGATGTAGGTCTTGTTAGAATTCCCTACTCCTCTGCTGTAGCAGACGGACAGAAAATATGGCATCTGTGCAGGACCGCCCTTTCCTGAAACCGCATTGGGGCTCCGCAAGCCTCTCCTCAGCGTGCCTGGCAAGGCGATGTTGAATAATCCTTGCCAGGACCTTTCCAGGCACACTGAGGAGTGAGATGCCCCTGTAGTTGTTACAATCTGTGCGGTCCCCCTTCTTAAAGAGGGGGACCACCAGGGCATCCTTCCGATCCTGCGGAACCCGTCCAGTGGTCCAGACTGTTGTTGTTATGATGTCATATAAGGCAGTCTGTGCACAAACGCCACCCTCCCTCAGCATTTCGGTTGGGAGATCATCTCTGCCCGGTGCCTTTTCTGGTCTCAGACTCCAGATCGCCTTCAGTACTTCCTCAACAGATGGCACCTCAGCCAGTCACTCACAGAGGGTGACTTCTTCCAATATTTGAGGCACCGCAGCATCAGCAGGGTCATCCCCACTTTGTGCCATGATGTTTTCCTGGCTGAGGGATTTCCCCTCCCCCAGGACCTTACATAAATGCTCAGCAAATCTGCAAACCTGTTCCTGGGGGTCGGAGATTGGATCACCGTTTTTTCCCCTAATTATGGTAATCGGTGTGGCGCTGCAGGTTAATTTTTTGATGGAGTTAAATAGTGATTTGTAATCGCGGGCCACTGAGGCAGACTCCATCTCCTCAGCAACCCGCGACCACCACCCATCCTTGCAGCGCCTTATAGCTCTCCGAACCTCCGAGCGAAGGCTGCGGTAAACCTCCTCATTCTCTGACGTGGGATGCTGTAGCCGATGAGAGTGGGCCTGTCGATTTTTCTCAACTATCCTGAACACCTCCTCTGTCAGCCAGGGTCTCTGGGGAGGTCTTGACCGCCTACCCAAAGCAGCCATTGCAGCTGCATGAGTCACAGTCCTAAACCTCGCCCATTTACCCTCGACATCAGAAAGAGTGGGGGACGATGCCAACTTTCATCAGCTAACTGAGACCAGGCCACTTTAGGTTGGAATGGGGTCCTGGGTGTGCACCCAACCACCGGAGTGGAAGAATGGCAGGCGCATCTTACAGATGACTAGTCAGAGGACAGATCAGCTCCACAGTAGGTCCTGGTGTCAAGGACATGGGCTCGCATCCGCTGGTCCGTCACTATGTAGTCCAGCAGATGTTCTTGCTTGGACCCGGCATGCATCCATGATGTTGTGTGGATGCGCCAATGCCGGAAGAGCGTGTTGGTAATTACAAGCCCATGGGCTGCACAAAAATCTAGCAGCCTCCTACCAGTGTTATTGAGCTGATCTGACCCATGCCCTCCAATCACTCCAGACCAGGTGCCAGTATCCTGACCAACTCGGGCATTCAAGTCACCCAACAAGATGACTCTGTCCCGAGTGGCCACTTTAGCCAGCACCTGTGACAGGAGGTCATAGAAGGCATCTGGCTCATCGGCTTTGCCTGCATCCCTCCACGGATGTTCGTCTTCGGTGGGGGCATAAGTAACCACGACCACCACGGTTGATGGGAAAGCGAGCCCAATGTAGCCTAGGGCTTACAGCTTCCCACTCTTCACCGTCCCGCTCCCACGCCCCTTTCATTCTTTTGTTCAGAAGAAGAGCCACACCTTGTTGTTTGGCAGTCTCCTGCCCCGAGTAGAGGACTGTCCACCCCTCATGGTGGCAGGAGCCAGAACCAGTCCCCCAGACCTCCTGAATGCCACAGAGATCCAGGCGGTACCGGTCCAGCTCCCGACAGAGGAGTGGCAGCCTCTCCTCCGCAGTGAGCGTTCGAACATTCCACGTGGCCACACGAAGTGGTTTTTCGTTGTTTCTGGAGGAGCTCCAAGGGTGAAGATTCAATCTCCTGGCTCCGCCAGTTTGGGTTTGGCCAGGAGACGTCATAGACGCCTGTCCCCCCGGGGCCTCCGGCACAAGCTTATTAGTTACATATTTAATTTGTGGTGCGCCCCCCCTCCATCCGCGTAGCCGACCGTGGCCAACCGCTTAGCTGGCGAGGCCCCCCACCTGCTCTGCAGCCAGCACCTCCCGCTCAGCGAGTCGTGGAGGGCGCCCAACCCCAAGTAGCAAATCTCGGACAGTTCCAGCAGGAGGCTGAGACCGGCGACCGTGTACATGACCAAAAGGAAGATGGTCTTCTCCGTGGGGCGCGACACGAAGCAGTCGACACGATTCGGGCAGGGGTCGCGGACGCACTGAAAGCGTGGGGCCACCTCAAAGCCGTAGAGCAGGTATTGCCCCAGCAGGAAGCCAATCTCGGCCAGCGTGCGGGCGAGCAGCTGGAGGGTGTAGGCTACCATCAGGCCGTCAGTCTTAATCCTCCACCGCTCGTTGCCTTGCCGTCGCTTCTCCTTGCCGTCTTCTTCACCCTCCTCCACCTCCCATTCCACCTCCTCTTCCACCTCCTCCTCTTTCTCCGTGCATTCAACCATGCGGTCGGAGCCGCCGGTTCGCTTGGTTCGTTCGTCTCGCTCGTACTCGATCCTACCACGACAGAGAGCGGCGTCAAGGGGACCAAATCGACGGTGCAACCAAATACTAAACATTTTTAAAACAATTTCAAACTGTGAGAAGCCATTCAAATTTCCACCGTAGCCCCCCCCCCCCCCCCCCCCCCCCACTGTGAAAACTCCCTCCGGGGACCTGCGGACCTGGTGATGCGATGTACAGCGAATCCGAGGTACAGGATGGTGGGCGTGGCAACGACGATGATCTGGAACACCCAAAAGCGGACATGGGAGAGCGGTGCGAAGCTGTCATAACAGACGTTCTCGCAGCCGGGCTGCGCCGTGTTGCACGTGAACTGGCCCTGCTCATCGTAGTAGATCGATTCTCCGGCGACCGTCGTGAGAACGATGCGGAAGATGAGGAAGATGGTGATCCACAGCTTGCTCAAGAATGTGGAGTGTCGGTGAACCTCATCCAGCAGCTGCGTCAGGTAGCCCCAGCTCATCGTGATCGCCGGTCAGAAGCAGCGACGCCGCTGCGGGGAAACATTCACCCGAGTTTGTACGGGCACTACTGTACTTATACACATTCAACTTCAGGACTTTTAGAGATAATTAAAAGACCTGTCCCATTTGTCCAGTTGCCCGTTTGGAACGAGTCGTAAGTTCAACCTCCACGCACAATAGATGACAGTGGTGGCATCTACATCTATAGAACGTGAAGAACCAGTGGCATCTACATCTACAGAACGTGAAGAACCAGTGGCATCTACATCTACAGAACGTGAAGAACCAGTGGCATCTACATCTATAGAACGTGAAGAACCAGTGGCATCTACATCTATAGAACGTGAAGAACCAGTGGCATCTACATCTATAGAACGTGAAGAACCAGTGGCATCTACATCTACAGAACGTGAAGAACCAGTGGCATCTACATCTATAGAACGTGAAGAACCAGTGGCATCTACATCTATAGAACGTGAAGAACCAGTGGCATCTACATGTGCAGAACGTGAAGAACCAGTGGCATCTACATCTACAGAACGTGAAGAACCAGTGGCATATACATCTGCAGAACGTGAAGAACCAATGGCATCTACATCTGCAAAACGTGAAGAACCAGTGGCATCTACATCTACAGAACGTGAAGAACCAATGACATCTACATCTACAGAACGTGAAGAACCAGTGGCATCTACATCTACAGAACGTGAAGAACCAGTTGCATCTACATCTACAGAACGTGAAGAACCAGTGGCATCTACATCTACAGAACGTGAAGAACCAATGACATCTACATCTACAGAACGTGAAGAACCAGTGGCATCTACATCTACAGAACGTGAAGAACCAGTTGCATCTACATCTACAGAACGTGAAGAACCAGTGGCATCTACATCTGCAGAACGTGAAGAACCAATGGAATCTACGTCTACATGAGATTATACGACTTTTAAGGCTATTCTCTGTGTGTGGTGTACATGCCGTAGACCACGTTTGGATCGACAGGAGTCAAGTTGGACTTACACACAGAACCTCTGGAACCTAACTCGTTCGTAAGTCGAAGAGTCCCTGTACCAGAGTGAGCTCGCTTTCTCCCTCGCTATAAATGTTCCGCATAAGCCACGACTTGGTGTGTGGCTCTACCAGGGGTGGTGGCAAGCAGGTCGCTTCTGCAAAGAGCTACACAGCAGCCCAGTGAGGGGTTGACACCTTGGTAACGTAAGTTGAGTTCGCTCAGCGTTGTGTCCACACGCTCACAACAACAACAGCCATTCGGCAGTCAACCCAAGGCACCTACCATGGGTTGGCTGACAGATGGCTGGCCGATGCAACAACTGTGCCCCCTACTGTGAATACTCGCTGCACTTTAAACGCCCGGCGCTCCGCTCGTTGTTGTGAGCGTCGCTCCTCTGCCCTCCTTTGTTGCTGGAGGGCGACTGCCTCCAACTGATTCTAGATTTGAAGCTTTCGTGACTGCAAGGATTCATACTCTTAGGTTATTTCGGTAAAGTCACGTAGGTAAAAATATTAATCAAATATTTAAAAAATTGAAATAAAATAATAAATCACGACTTTTAGGAGGCAACACAATATTCCGTCATCAGATGGGACCGTCACAGCTAAATTTACTGTATCAAGTGAGGAAAAATCCAAGAAACAAGCTCTTAAATAAAAGTTAAGAGGGAGGGGGGGGGGCTTATCTGAATGTGGTAGCCAGGGAATGGAACGGTGGGGGGGGGGGGGGGGCTACAATAGAACAATTGGTGCACGTCGACTCGGGGTTGCGGCCGGTGTTGGCTGACAATCCAAATACAAAAAAATTAACCCGTAAAAACAAAGTTTTTCACTATAAATCCTTTATATGCGTGGCATCGGAGCGGCTAGAGTCCTCTCGTCCTCTGGCTTGAGATGGCTGCCACCTATGGGTCAGATGATTGTCTGGCAGCATTAAACAATTTGTAATTAAATATTTTTTAAAAATTCCCTAAACAGTGTAAAATTTTGGATATTTTTTTTCACGAAAATGCATTGTCACGCACAACGAGTCTGTGTGCAAAATGTCAGCTCGGTTGGATCATGGGAAGTGGGTTAAAAACGACCGAAAGATTTGCACGGTCCTAAGCAAGCAAGCGAACTTAATATAAAGGATTTAAAAATTAACCCTTAAAAACAAAGTTTTTCAATATAAATCCTTTATATGTAAGATCACCTCTTGACATGCCCCGTATATTCCCGAGGGCACTAGCGTTGACCCGTTTTACCACTTTCAAGAACCTGGCGGCTTCAATGTAACTGCTCTATAAATAGTCTCCAGTGTACAGCGTGGGGGCAGGGATTTCATGCCATGTGGTTAGTCAACATTTGCGTCATCATGAAACGGGCGGCTAGAGTCCTCTCGTCCTCTGGCTTGAGATGGCTGCCACCTATGGGTCAGATGATTGTCTGCCACCATTAAGCAATTGGTAATTAAATATTAAATTTTTCCCCTAAACAGTGTAAAATTTTGGAAAAAAAATTTCACGAAAATTCATTGTCACGCACAACGAGTCTGTGTGCAAAATGTCAGCTCGATTGGATCACGGGAAGTGGGTTAAAAAACGACCGAAAGATTTGCATGGTCATAAGCAAGCAAGCAAGCACGCAAGCACGCAAGCAAGCAAGCAAGTGAACTTTATATTAAGGATTTAAAAAGGCAGTACTGTTAAACGCGGGGGATGTCTACACTCGGAAAGTAGAATAGTACCTGTCAAATAAGATGGTACAAATATGTGTAGTTAAATATTTTACCGTGATGATGAGTACAAACTGAGTAATCATTGGAAAGATGTTAACCATGTAAAAAACAGTCACTCACCCACCCACTCACTGTCACTCACCAACCAACTCAGCCACTCATCCCCTCACTCACTCACTCACCCACCCACCCACTCACCCACCAACTCACCCACTCACCCACCAACTCACCCACTCATCCACTCAGTCACTCACCCACCCACTCACCCACCAACTCACCCACTCATCCACCAACTCACCCACTCATTCACTCACTCACTCACCCACCCACTCACACACCCACCCACCCACTCACCCACCCACTCACCCACCAACTCACCCACTCATCCACTCACTCACCCACCCACTCACCCACCAACTCACCCACTCATCCACCAACTCACCCACTCATTCACTCACTCACTCACCCACCCACTCACCCACCCACCCACCCACTCACCCACCCTCTCACCCACTCACCCACCAACTCACCCACCCACTCACCCCCATCATCATGCCTTGGCTTCGCGAACGAAGATCTAGGAAGGACATCCACGTCTTCTGCAGGCACGCTGGTGGCTGAAGAGGCCTATGCGGGACAAGCAGGTCCTGCCACAACAGCTGCAAGTATAGGTCTCATCTGGGATGGGTGCTGAGGGATCATGGTTCTTCCTCCTCCTTTTGTCCTCCATACGGGCCCTGCGGGTATCTTCGAAGAAGGAGGTGGCCTGGTGGACTGTGTGCCGCCAGGAGTTGCGATCAGCTGCTTGTGTTGCCCACTGACGGTGATCGATGCAGCAAGCAGTGAGGGACTTCTTCAGGGAGTCTTTGTATCGCTTTCGAGTAATCATTGGAAAGATGTTAACCATGTAAAAAACAGTCACTCACCACCCACTCACTGTCACTCACCAACCAACTCAGCCACTCATCCCCTCACTCACTCACTCACCCACCCACCCACTCACCCACCAACTCACCCACTCACCCACCAACTCACCCACTCATCCACTCAGTCACTCACCCACCCACTCACCCACCAACTCACCCACTCATCCACCAACTCACCCACTCATTCACTCACTCACTCACTCACCCACCCACTCACACACCCACCCACCCACTCACCCACTCACCCACCAACTCACCCACTCATCCACTCACTCACCCACCCACTCACCCACCAACTCACCCACTCATTCACCAACTCACCCACTCATTCACTCACTCACTCACCCACCCACTCACACACCCACCCACCCACCCACTCACCCACCCTCTCACCCACCCACTCACCCACCAACTCACCCACTCATCCACTCACCCACCCACCCACTCACCCACTCACCCACCAACTCACCCACTCATCCACTCACTCACCCACCCACTCACCCACCAACTCACCCACTCATTCACCAACTCACCCACTCATTCACTCACTCACTCACCCACCCACTCACACACCCACCCACCCACCCACTCACCCACCCTCTCACCCACCCACTCACCCACCAACTCACCCACTCATCCACTCACCCACCCACCCACTCACACACCCACCCCACTCACCCACCCTCTCACCCACCCACTCACCCACCAACTCACCCACTCATCCACTCACTCACCCACCCAATCACTCAGTCACTCTCCCATCCACTCAGTCACTCACCCACCCAGTCACTCACCCACCAGTCACTCACCCACGAACTCACCCACCCACATCCCACTCACCCACCCACCCACTCACTCGGCCACTCACCCACCCACTCATTCACCCTACATTGTAGACTGTATCTGTGTGTACAGTCTACATTAAAGACTGTATCTCTATGTAAACAGTTAACATTATAGGCTGTATCTATGTGTACAGTCTACATTATAGACTGTATATGTGTACACAATCTACATTATAAACTGTAGATATGTGAACACAGTCTACATTATAGACTGTTCTGTGCGTACAGTCTACATTATAGGCTGTATCTGTGTGTACAGTCTACATTATATACTGTATCTGTGTACACAGTCTACCTCACAGAAATGCTCAGCAAATCTGCAAACCGTTTTTCCCCCTAATGACGGTGATAGATGGAATTAACAAGATTTGTGATCGCGGGCCACTGAGGCAGACTCCATCTCCTCAGCAACCCGCGACCACCACCCATCCTTGCAGCGCCTCACGGCTCTCCGAACCTCCGAGCAAGGGCTGCGGTAAACCTCCTCATTCTCT